TCCATCATGCTTATCCAAAGCTGGGTTACGAGGGATGCTGGTGCCTATCTCAAGCTGTCTACGGGTGAGAGGCAAGGTACACCCTGGACAGGTCTCCATTCCATCACAGGGCTCAAGGGGAAGAGTACAGCGGACTATTTGGAAGATACAATTTAATTTCCTAATATTGTCTGATATCATCTGAGCTCTTTCCACTGGGAGTCTAATGCGCAGCAGCCTAAGATATGCAGAGGCACAAGCATCTTTTGACCTGAGTAGGTTGAACACAGATAGACAGAATGACCATCCTGAGCCATTGATCAAGGCTGCTGCATCTGGATCTACTTTCCTGATAACATGAACAGTACCTACTAGGTAGAGCCTAATATATGCCAGAAAAAAATCTATTTTCACACACACACACATATATGTATATATATAATTTTAACATATAATTTCGCCTAATACCAGGAAACATGTTTCAACATGAAAAAGTCCTATATCTGGGTGGTGACTCCTTTAAGAGAAGTTTTTCATTTGTTACACAAACAGGGGGTCAATGAACCACCAATAATGTATTAATAGTAAGAAGGCCTGAATGCCTCAAATTGTAGCTCCTATACTGGAAACAGTTCAACAGTAAGATCTCTATGCAGGTTGGAAAAGAAGCTCTGGACTGCTGAAAAATGACAGCCTTCAGCCTTATGGACATCATAACCATGGGGACAATTAAAGTTACAAAAATTCATTAAAAATGGCTGAAGTCCGCTGTCATAAAACCATGAACATATCAATAGGTTTATATTATACGACGGAGTATTAGGGCCAGGCTAGAGATTTTAAATTTTTTATTTTGGGAATAAAATTGTAACCTTACGGGAATAAAGTTGTAATATTATGAGAATAAAGTCGTAATATTAAGAGAATGAAGTAATCATACAACAACCTGTTTCAGAAAGAAAGCTTCGAGCTCTGACCAGTATAGAACGGCTGACCAGCTCCACCAATCAGCAACCACTTTGACCTTCTGCCCGATTTGATGCTGGTGCTAAAATATTTTCTTATTTGTCAAACCAGAGCCAAAGTCTAACTTCACATGATGCTCGACATTCCTCAATTTAGGGATGAAATTACTTCTTGTAAGAGTTGTCATAAAATACAACTTGTTTCTCCTAATTTTATGACTATTCTCATTGTGACTTTTTTCTCATAATTTTACGACTTTATTTTCATAATTTTATGACTTTATTCTTGATTCTCGTAATTTTATGACTATTCTTATTGTGACTTTACTCGTAATTTTACGACTTTATTCTCGTTATATAACCAAAAAAAATCTCTAGCCTGGCCCTAATATTAGGACGTGTTAAACAGAGTATCAATCCCACTTGAACCCCAGTCGGATCCTCAGATGGCCGCTCACTCTGAACCTGGTTCTGCTGGAGGTTTCTTCCTGTTAAAAGGGAGTTTTTCTCTCCACTGTTGCTACAAGCATGCTTAGTGTGAGGGATTGAAGTCAATGAGTCAATGCAATCAACTGGTTTTCCTTAGATAGAAACTTCAAATGAATTTGACCGGATGATCTTGTGAACTGTAAAGTGCCCTGAGGTGACATGTGTTGTGAATTGGCACTATAGAACTAAACTGAATTTAATTTAATTGAATACATGAAAAAATTATGTCTTTTTGTTGAAGTGCATGCAGTGGACTGTGCCAGTACGTCCTGTCACGCAAATGATGATGGGCAACCATTTAGTTTAGGGAGGTCTGGAGGTCCCTGTCACTACGGGATCCATCTCAGAAGCACGATCCTTCCCGCGCATGCGCAAACAGAATAATAAAATCCGGATCGCCAAAAAACTATGTAATAACGGCACTGAAAATACTTATTTATACACTGAAAACATTAAAGAATGCTAAACTACATTTTATAGAAAACATTGAAGACTTTTTTGGAAGAAATGGATGCGTTTTAAATGTTCTCCATTGTATTGTGTGACTTCATTATCGGACATGTTCAGAGTCACAGTCACATTCAAAAGAATATTTAAGTGTATTGCTTTTTTTCTTTCTCTGAATATGAAACATTTACACAAACACAAAAATATTAAAAAGGAGCCCCCTGCCGGAAAAAGAGAGAAAAAAAAAAGGAAGAAAATCTAAGTATTGCCTACCCAGAAGTTATTCTGTTCGCGCATGCGCAGGACGGATTGTGCTTCCGGGATGGATCGGTTACTGTCAGTCCCTATGCTAACTGCATTAGCACCAGGAAATATACTGCTTCCTGTTTCAAGTTCCTTTATAATGACCAGGGCTGTGTCCAAATGTCCACCGTAACCCCCAGATCCGTCAATCGCTATATAGAACCGGGACTATATAGTGGACTTTATAGCGAACTCAGTTAACTGACCTATGGACAGATGATGACTACTTATTGCTCCCCGTTGGTCACGTGACTCCGCCTACCTGTATGGTATTATTTGTCGCCACTGTCATTTGATTCTGACAACAAATCCTATGATGCTTTGTGGGTAGACCTCTCCTCGCAAAGCATTCCAGGATATATCTGCTCGTCTAGTGACCATGGATGATGACTGCTTTTGAAGGTGCATTGTGGGAAATTTCAAGTACTTTTTCATCCACTAGACAATCGGACACTCATCTAAAATGGTGTAGCAATTAGGGCGGACTGTCGTGCTGGAAAAAATCTAAATCTAGATACGTAATTTTTTCTTAAAACAAATGCATTTGTTCTTGGATTCAGGAGGTAAAAGAGACATTTTGCAAATGGAACAAGACAATTTACATTTAAAATAAGAAAACACAATTGCATTGTCTTATTTCAAATGCATATTATCCAATTATCTTATTTTAAGAGTAAAAATACTCATACTGCATTTGCAAACTATCTCATTTACCTACTCAAATTAATGGTAAATACACTTAATTTAAGAAATTTCTTCTTATTCTAGATCGTTTTTGCAGTGCGGACACAGCCCAGCCCATGAGTTTTTCAATAGCATTTACTATGGCGACCACGCATGCACTGCCGCCATTGCTTAAGTGTCCTTACCAATATGAGGTTTTCGGATCGTGCTTAAATAATGTGAATAATTTCTTCTCAGAGCAAAGTAAGGCAGTTAATGAAATCAATAATACAATGCTTACTGAAATAGTTCTATTAAAAAATGTACCTCGCTTCAAATATGGCAATGGGTTCAGCAATAACCTGTCAGGGTTTGGTTGAGGTTTTGAGGACCAAACGCAGAGGCGAGGAAGCAGAGGTGAGTTCTTTTAGTTTTAATGGAGTAATCACAGGTAACAGAGGCATGAATCAAAAAATCAAAAAACGAAGAAAGACTAGGAACCAGCACTGAGGAACTGCACACGGAGAGTATTTATGACTGACTGAACAAAGACAGGACTAACGAGCTCAATGGGAGCAGGTGGGAACAGAGGCCTCTAGAAAGGAGCTAGGGAAAAGATAGACCAACACAAGAGGGCAACAAGAAAAATCTGAGAACTCTAATACATCCAAAAAACACAACAAAATAGAAACTAGAAAACAAAGAAATACATGAATTAACGTGAAACTGAAAACTCAAAGAAAACTTAACAGAACCAAGACTGTTACATAACAATGATGATCAAATCTGGTTTGTAACGAGTTAAAAATTGAGACAGTTTTGCTCTTGACTTCTCTAAAACTAGACGTTGACTTCAGGTTCCAGGACCAACTGATCTGATTTTCCACTTAATAAGGAGCCCAGAGCAATATTCTACAGCAGGCCAGATATTTGTTGCTTCTACCTCTTTAAAAAACCCACAATTCAAATATCTGGAAATGTTCCTAAAGCAGTGAGACTCAGAGACGACTGTGACTGAGAAGGCTGCAATCAATCTCTGAGGCAGGAAGCCATTTAGTTTGAGAAGAGAAGAAAGCAAGCAAAGAAAAGAAAAAAAGTGGATGAGTCCACGTTTCTTCTGCCCCAGCAGCTCTGTAGGAAAGTTTTCCAAAACAAAAGCAGAAAGAGAGCAGCAGGAATTTTGTTTGTTTGAACGTAACTCTGTTTCATGGATGATGGGCCAGAAGCTTGCAGTGATTCAGCTGGTGGTCTGACATTTTCCTGGCAGTCCCCAAACGCAGCAGCAATGTTGTCTCTGCAAGGATTACAGGTTGTGGGAGTGTGTTTGTTGTTGAGGTCGACTGTAAAAACTTTTAAGGTTGGATTTTGAAAAAAAAAATGATAATGAGAACAGGATTTTTTTGTTTTATTGGAAAAGGGACTGAGGAAGGCGTTATTGCTGGGAAATGCAGAACGTATGACTAACAGCTGAAATGTTTCCACTACAATTTTCCACAAGAGGGGAGAGGAGATTTACAAGAGGCCCCATTTTCAGTTGTACCACTGCAAAAAAAAGAAAAGAAAAGAAAACTAATGTTCTGCCTCTGCTCTGCGTTAACCTTAACCACAAGTTTGGCTACCAGATCTTCCTGAGTAATAGTAGTTACATAAACGTCTGTAGCTGCAACTCAGCTTCTGCAAAGCATACATTCCTTTGTCTCTTTTTTATTTTTGCTAACATGCACTGAAGTGAAGTGATAGAGTCTGAATGTTTTC